ACCTGGAGGTTCACATTGTCAATGTATGTGTGGGGCCCACCTGGAGGTTCACATTGTCAAATGTATGTGTGGGGCCCACCTGGAGGTTCACATTGTCAATGTATGTGTGGGGCCCACCTGGAGGTTCACATTGTCAAATGTATGTGTGGGGCCCACCTGGAGGTTCACATTGTCAATGTATGTGTGGGGCCCACCTGGAGGTTCACATTGTCAATGTATGTGTGGGGCCCACAGGTTTGCATGAGTGTATGTATGAGTGTTAACAACGTTGTCTTTTAATTCCGAAACTTGAGAAGCACATTAATATTGTTTGACATCCTGGTTACTTCAATAAATTTTGTACTATTTTTTCACTGATAAAACTGGTCTCGATTTATTTTTATGAACCGTTACTCCCAGTTACCTTTTACCTGGGGGACCTCCTTACTTCTTGCATAGGATTTCATCTTTCACATGTTTGCCTCCAATATACTGAAATCTGATGGGTTGCTATGGGCTCACTTTGCACAATGCTTGATTTACCGCCTTGTTAAACCATTACTTCCAGGCAAACAGCTAAATGCACAGATGAAATACATACAGTATATGAGAGCTGTTTTACCTGCCAGGCCTGTATTTTTGTCCATCCAGTCCTGAGACACGGCTTTGCCACACAGTACAGCCCTGTCTTGCAGGGAAGAGGACCTGATCTTTTCTGCCACTTGCCGGTTTCCTCCCTATCCTGTGTGTGGACAGTGAAAGAAAAGCAGCATGCTGGTAAGCTCATTTCTGTATCACTCAGTTCTTTTCTTCTTTCAGCATGCCCCTTTCACTGTAGCACACCTGGTTGGTTTCTTGTGCTACTTCTCCCTCCCTCTCTCTAAGCTCTGCTGTACAGGGACTACCAGAGGCTGATCTCCGAGTCAAATTCAAGTTTTTCAATAATAAATTAAATAATCTGTTAATGAATACAGAGCTGCGTTAATTTGTGCCTTTTATATCTGCCCGGAGTTTGTCTTTAATGGAAATTAGCAAAGCTGTGTCTTTTTCAGAACGTGAAAGGTTAGCGATATAACATACAATGCTAAAGAATTGCCTTAGCAGGCAGTATATGCAGGAGAAGAGTGCAGAGAGGGTGTTAAGGACAGTCTTAAGAGAGGAGTGAAACGGGTATGAAAGTGGGCAGTATTTGCAGGAGAGGAATGCAGAAGGTATGACAGTGGGAAGTATGTGTAAGAGAGGAGTGAAGCGGGTATGACAGTGGGCAGTATTTGCAGGAGAGGAATGCAGAAGGTGTGACAGTGGGCAGTATGTGCAAGAGAGGAGTGCAGAGGGTATGACAGTGGGCAGTATTTGCAGGAGAGGAATGCAGAAGGTATAACAGTGGGCAGTATTTGCAGGAGAGGAATGCAGAAGGTATAACAGTGGGCAGTATGTGTAAGAGAGGAGTGAAGTGGGTATGACAGTGGGCAGTATGTGCAAGAGAGGAGTGCAGAGGGTATGACAGTGGGCAGTATGTGCAAGAGAGGAGTGCAGAGGGTATGACAGCGGGCAGTATGTGCAGGAGAAGGATGCAGAGGGTATGATAGTGGGCAGTATGTGCAGGAGAGGAATGCAGAGTGTATGATAGTGGGCAGTATGTGCAAGAGAGGAGTGAAGCGGGTATGACAGTGGGCAGTATGTGTAAGAGAGGAGTGAAGCGGGTATGACAGTGGGCAGTATGTGCAAGAGAGGAGTGCAGAGGGTATGACAGTGGGCAGTATTTGCAGGAGAGGAATGCAGAAGGTATAACAGTGGGCAGTATTTGCAGGAGAGGAATGCAGAAGGTATAACAGTGGGCAGTATGTGTAAGAGAGGAGTGAAGTGGGTATGACAGTGGGCAGTATGTGCAAGAGAGGAGTGCAGAGGGTATGACAGTGGGCAGTATGTGCAGGAGAGGAGTGCAGAGGGTATGACAGCGGGCAGTATGTGCAGGAGAAGGATGCAGAGTGTATGATAGTGGGCAGTATGTGCAGGAGAGGAATGCAGAGTGTATGATAGTGGGCAGTATGTGCAAGAGAGGAGTGAAGCGGGTATGACAGTGGGCAGTATGTGTAAGAGAGGAGTGAAGCGGGTATGACAGTGGGCAGTATGTGCAAGAGAGGAGTGCAGAGGGTATGACAGTGGGCAGTATTTGCAGGAGAGGAATGCAGAAGGTATAACAGTGGGCAGTATTTGCAGGAGAGGAATGCAGAAGGTATAACAGTGGGCAGTATGTGTAAGAGAGGAGTGAAGTGGGTATGACAGTGGGCAGTATGTGCAAGAGAGGAGTGCAGAGGGTATGACAGTGGGCAGTATATGAAGTAGAGGAATGCAGAGGGTATGACAGTGGGCAGATAGAGCTTACCTCGGGCGATTGGTCTCTATTCCCAGAAATATTTTAGGAGATCTGCTACCGTTTGGGATGCTGGATATAGATCTCTTAATGTTCCGAGCGAGCGCCAAGCTGTACAGGTTTGGATCCCAGTCCAGGGACCTGAGAGCATTTTCAACAAGTGCACTGGTAGCTCCATGGGATCAGTTCTCCCTGCTTAATGCCTCTCCTTTTGAGGATTCTTCCTCGTCTTCGCTACAGGATCGAGTTAGAAGACTTTCCAGTGATCCTTGTTACTCCAAACTGGCCCAGAAGAGGTTGGTAGGTGGACATCCTCAGGATGCTTGCAAACTCTCCATGGCTGCTTCCAGACTGGCTTGTTTCTCAAGATCCATGGTTTCATCCTGCTTCTCAGTCGCTGGCTTGACAGCTTGGCTGTTGAAGCCCAGGTCCTAAGGAATAGATGTTTGTGCCAGGAAGGCTTGCTAGTCTGATGTAGACAGCTACAGTTTCGTCTTTGGACTCACTCTGTGTGACCAGTATTAACCTTTCTCCAGTCTGGACTGGAGAAATAGTTAGCCCTGAGTATGCTCAAGGGACAGATGTTAATATTAACCATCCTTTTCCAGTGGCCATTGACTTCATATTCTTTGGTAAAGGCTTATGTTCAAGGGGTAGCTCACTTGGCTGCTCCTGGACCTCCTGGACGCCCTCCAGTGTCGCTGTGGGACCTCAACCTTACATGCATGGTTTTCATTGACACCATCATCTCCACTATGAAAGTTCTGAAGCTGGCTGCTTTTTTGTGCAAGGCTCTGTTCCTTGTGCTTCACAAGGTTACAGTTGTTCTTAAACCAAAGGCTTCCTTTCTTCCAAAGGTGGTGTTCTCCTTCCATCTGAATGAGGATATTGTTTTGCCTTCCTTTTTTGTCCTACTCCGAAACAACCCAAAGAGGTGGCTCTCCACAGTTTAGATGTGATTAGAGCTGCCCAAGTCTAGTTTTCGGTTACAGCTTCTTTACAACAATCAGATCCTTTATCCTTCCTAAAGGACCATACATGGGTCTTCCTGCATCTTATTCCACCTTTTCTAGGTGGATTAGGCAGGCCATCTTACATGCTTACTCTGTCAAGGGTAAGACTACACCTTTTCCCTGTAATGGTTCAGTTTATTAGATCCATCAGTACCTCTTGGGCTTTTAGACATCTGCGTTGCAGATTTGTAAGGCCATCACCTGGCCTTCTGTTCATACACTCTGCCAGGTGTATATTCGTGCCTCTACTCATATGGGTTTTGCCTGTAAGGGACCTACAGGCTGCTATCTGAGTTGGTGCTTCCCCTGTTATGGGCCTGCTGGCAGTTTTGTTTTCTGTGTGCCCACCCCTCAGGGCATTGCTTGTGGATGCCCCAGTTATCTATGAATGGCCTGCGTCCTGTACTGTATGATCAAGAAAGCAGGATTTTTGACCAGTAAAATTCATTTTTTGTCATACGGTACAGGACACAGCACCCTGTATATCCTCTACTGCTTGCTAAAAAATTGAGGATTTCTTGGAGTGGGAGGGGATATATGAGGTCACAGCTCTGGCCAGTGTCCAATCAGCTGGTAATACCTGCATATTACCCAGTCCTCTATGAATTGCCTGTGTCCTGTACTGTACTCCAATCAGATTTTACTGGTAAGTCAAAAATCCTGCTATCCTTGGCATGGTGTTCTTAAAGCAGCACAGACCTCAAATGCAGACAAACACCCACTGCTGTGGCCTACCTAAGGCCTTAGTCTTTAACAGCATCTGGCATCCAACTCATGGAGAAAGACGAACATTATTCCATGTACTGCCATTGGAAACTTTGAGGGGGGTTGGTCCCATATACGAAGTTTGTATTATATGTAAAAGTTCATCTGTGCGTCTGTCTACCCAGTAATTGAGGATAGCGGGAGAAGATGATCTGCTAACGATCAGGAAAAGTACAATGCTTTTTTTGTCCTTGTCATACGTTGTGAAGATTTGCCTCTCCAGCATTACAATTATCAGACCTGAGTCACTGCTACAATTGAGAACCTAAGTGCACATAATGATATTTATAACGGCAAACTTTGACGGAAAGAGACAGGGCTGAAGAACGTTCACAAAGCTCTGACTGATGAGGGCTCGGAAGTGGAAACAGAACGTGCAATTAGGGCAGACGGAGGTGATATTTTGGGCTGAATGGACCTGTTTTAGCAGCATTTATGTGTGCTGCTAAGATTAACAGTGAGTGACTGATCACTTAAACACTTTTTGCGTAACAGCTATAGATAAAGACGGCTATTGAGCTAATATCTTTGCTGTTTCATATAACCTCACCGGGTGGATCTATTTTTAAGGCAGCCTATTTTTCCACTAGGAGATCATTTACTTTTATTCTATTGTGCAGCATCTTACATGCACTATCACCTTTGAAGAAGCCTTCAGGGATAAATCCAATATCCTAATAATATATTTTCCTCTTCTTTTTTGTTTTATTTTAACCTTTCCTTGCCTGCAAACAAAAAACAAAATGCCTGTAATCAACTGAGATTCTGTTTTCTCATCAGCAATTTTTCTCTGTCATCTGAAAACCGTGTCTGGCTTTTGTGAAAATATGTCTCCTGTTTAGGGCTGCAACTAATAATTATTTTCATAATCGATTAGTTGGCCGATTATTTTTTTGATTAATCAGATAAAAAAAATGTTTTATGAATATCATCCTTATTTTAAAATAAAATACACAAATGCAGTGTTACAAACATAAAGTTTACTTCAGAATAAAACTGCATGCACAATTTTTTGCAATCGCACTGCACTGGAAAGCACGGCATTGCGGTACTATGCGTTCCAGTGCGGGTGATCACACTGTGGGTGGGAGGCGCATATGGGGTCCATTGAAATTATTGGCATTGCAATGCACCTCCCGCATGAGATTTTGTCAGGCCAAAACCGACAATGACTTTTTTTCCCACCTTTTTCTAATTTAAAAAAAAATTATTCTATTGTAAGCACACGGCGCTTGAATAGCCTCAGCCAGAGAATGACAGTTGCCAGTGGCAAGATACTGCAGACGGCAGCTGAATGTAAATGCAGCAGGTAGTGGGCGAGTGCAATAGCTAGCCTGCTATTGGCCATTTCAAATTGCAGTAGCCAATAGCAGGCTGGCTATTGTACCCGCCCACTGCTTGCTTTGCCCTCCTCCCAGCATGGAGGAGAGAGCAAAAGGAACCAACCAACTAATCGATAATGAGAATAGTTGACAACTATTCTCATAATTATAATTGATTACTTGGTTGCAACCCTACACCTGTTTCCCTATTCCCTATTATTGCATCGCTTGTGTGTTGCCGTTATTGCTTGCTAATACTGTTATGTATTGCTGATACTAATGCAGTTATGTGTTCAGTAAAAATTATTTCATGTACAACTAGTGTCTAAATATGAACCCTCCTTTAGCTGTCTGTACAGCAGTATTCCGAGCGAGAAAGAAAGGTTCAGCACTAGGAGCCAGTAAAACTGTGCTGCATGCACATGTGCTTATTGGCAACATAGTGACAGGATAATAGAACACCGTGAGCAGAGGGATGACCAATCAATGTACTGATGTGATTTCATTATCCAATCAGCAGCCTGGGGTATGTTGCTGAGTAAGCTTTTCTGCTGCATTGAAGGATCTGGCTGTGCTATCTGGCAGGGGTGTGTAGATCACAAAATTGGCTGCACACAATTATAAATTCTTTGGCAGAGAAAACCGTTCCCATGTATGTATTTGGCTGCTTGCCTCAAGTTCAAGTCTGCTAAGAAAAAATACACTCACCTATAACAACCAATCAGGATTATTTGTCTGACTTTCCAAATGGGAGGCCCCCCCTGGGGCTTAACAGTCACTGTCCTGTCAACCACTCGGCATTCTGTTAACATGCTTTCCCCCAGCTCCTAAATGAGATGTCAAATAACAGATCCCCACATTTGTTTAAATTCCTCTCTGTTTTGGAGCTCTGTTAAAACTCATTTATAGACCTGCCGGCACAATTGTAATTCTTGCAGAAGCTCACTTGTGACTGACTCTGAAGCAGCCTGTAAAAGGTGGGGGGGAGGAGTTCTTATAGGTAGGGAAGAGATCTAAAATAAAGGGTGACGTTGATGTTGCCATTGTTTTAGGAATGGCCTCAGACACATCAGGCCTCCATCTCGTTCTTGGGACCCACCGAGCGCCCTCCAGAAGAACCCGAGGAAAAGCCGAGACGCCCTTCTCTTCATGTTAGGATATACCGAAGGCTAGCTAACTACTGGTCACCCCCGAAAGTCGGTAAGCTTGCCCTTAGTTCAGCTTTTTTTTTATGTGCTTCACCTAAAACATTATTCTTTATGTACAAGGCTGTGTGAAAATAGCTATTTACTGGGTTCTGCATGAATTGCTACTAAAATGTGTTCTGTGTTACAGTGTCTTAGTCATAAACACATCACACACATCTTATTTAAGAACTGCACACATAGGATTTTACATTGCCATATCTGTAATGAACCATTGTATAAATTAGCCAGGAAAAGAATAACTGGTGGGACCTCTTTTATTGGCATTTTTCCACCGCAGGTTAGAATACAAGAGGAATTTTCTGATTGGTTAGCTAAAGTTGAAGTCCAGTCAGTGACACCCCTACCCCCATTGCTCCAGATACTCACCGAAATGTTCTTAGAGCTGCAGCTAACAATTATTTTCAAAATCGATTAGTTAGCCGATTATTAAGTTCGATTAATCGGTTAATCGGATATAAAATAAAATACATTTTTAAAAACGGCTCCAGTGATGGAACTACCAGTTTGTATTGAGATTGCAGTCCATCACAGGAGCAAGCTTGGAGCGGCGGAAGTAAAAAAAGAAAAAAAAAAGTGTGGTGTGCAATATAGTGAAATTAAAAGTGTACAATTATACAGCAATCAATGCAGAATAGCACCGGCTATAGAGGACTACAAAACCCAGCAATAGTACATTATACAGCACAATGCAGAATACCACCAGCTATAGAGGAATACAACAAATCCCAGCAATAGTACATTATAGCTGGCGGTATTCTGCATTGTGATGTATAATGTGCTACTGATGGGTGTTGTACTCCTCTATAGCTAGTGGTATTCCGCATTGCGCTGTATAATGTATTATTCCTTGATTTGTAGTCCTCTATACAGCGCAATGCAGAATACCACCAGCTATAGAGGAGTACAACAAATCCCAGCAATACATTATACATACAGTGTAAAATGTATTGCTGGGATTTGTAGTCCTCTGTATAATATACAGCACAATGTACCATCAGCTATAGAGGAATACAAATCCAAGCAATACATTATAGAGCACCATGTGTGGGCAAAGTGCAGGCTTACCTGAGCAGTCTTCCAGCAACTTGTTTCTGAGATCAGGCCTGTCTATCTACCGCCCACACCTGCTCCTCCTTACTTCTTCTCCCCGCTTCCCTGTGCCGATTGGGATTTGGGCGGGCGGTGAGCGTGAGGCGGGGAGGAGGTGCGGCGTGGGGAGCGTGGATGCGGGCGGGCAGGTCTAGCAACTGCGAGCGTGAGGTGGGGAGGAGGTGTGGCGAGCAGCGTGTGTGGAGCCGTGAACAGGGCCCGCCCGCAGGGCCAATTAATCGATGATTGAAAAAGTTGACAACTTTTTCAATCATCGATTATAATCAATTATGTCGATTAGTTGTTGCAGCCCTACTTGTGACACTCTAGGCCCAGATTTTATTTCTCTCTTCTGGTCCTCCTTAAAATGTCCACATTGCTGCCTGTTGACCTGTCCATCATTGGGGTCCTCCAAGGTCCTGAAAACTCCAGTGGGGGGGCATCAAAGTGAGGGTCGGGGTGAAAACCAGTTGGGGTGAACCCAGCTAGCAGCAGGTATTGTCGAAGCTTGCTGCTGACCTCCTGGTCCCCCACATGTACCTACAGTGCACCACTATGGTGATTTGTCCCTGGTCTGTAGGAATATGGTGAAGGCAAGACATGTCAAAGCTGTGCCTGTTGGATAGGTCTGGTATTCACTTATAATGTATAATTGTAGAGGCTGCTGAAGATATGCACGGGCACCCCGAGGTACCTGAAGCATTTTCTTTTTAATGAAAAAGCCTTTTCAAGTTAAAATTTACGTACAGGTTCCTTTTAAATAGAGTAAATACTGGATATCTGACCATTATCTTCCTTGTGGTGCCCCCAGTAGTGGGAACTATAAATGAAATTCTGTATATACTGAGATTACAATCATTGACAATATTTACATCTGCTATTTTGCAGAGGTTCCTGTGGAAGCACCTCCTGAGCAATGGGAAGAAGCTCAGATATCAGCAATTGAGCTGACCATCAGCACCCAGAACCACCAGCCGGACTTAACAGTAAGTTTGTGACACATCCAGCCAACCTCCTGTATATGTGTCCCTCCCACACTTACACAATGAAGTAAACCCAACCAATAAAATCTGATATAAGCTTTACCATGTTAATGTCATTTCAAAAGTCATTTTAAAAGTTTATAAATCTGTAGCTTTTATTAAAATGATACCCGGTGATCCTGCCATGAATCTCCAGACACTTCCTGTTAATAATCCTGCGTTGTCACCCTGTCGCATACATTGGCTTCTGATGGAGAAAGTGGCCATTTACACAAGCATGCTCCAATGTTGTGACCATCAGGAATCCCTCCTTGAAAAATTACAAGCCGCCATTGCTGGAGTGCATGTAGATAGGAAGTCAAATAGAGATCAGTAGCAGTGAGATGCAGGAGGATGAAAACTTGTGAAAATAAGTATTTTATGTACAAAATGTTAATAGTTATTATTATTATTGTTATATAGGATTTATATAGCGCCAACAGTTTGCTCAGCGCTTTACAATATAAGGAAGACATAACAATCACAATACAATTCAAGGCAAGATGGTAAGGAAGGCCCTGCCCCTGGGGGCTTACAATCTAAAAGGGAGGGGGAAGTGATACATGAGGAGCAAGCTGTGTGGGGATGAATTGTTTGAGAACGTGATGATTGAGTGGTAAGGTTGAGGTGGGATAGGCTTCCCTGAAGAGATGAGTCTTTAGGGATAGCCTAAAGGCAGTCAAGGTGGGAGATAGACGGACAGGTTGGGGTAAAGAGTTCCAGAGGATGGGAGAGACTCTAGAGAAGTCCTGGAGGCGAGCATGGGATGAGTTGACAAGGGAGCTGGAAAGCCGGAGGTCTTGGGATGAGCGGAGGGGGCGCTTAGGGTGATATTTTGAGAGAAGGTTTGAGATATATCTGGGGGCAGAGTTGTGGATGGCAGAGTTGTGGATAGTTTTTAGGAAATTGCACCCCTGTGTAGAATGAAAGGCTTATTTATTTAGAATCTTGGTGAAAATCACTGGCAGACTTCATTTACTGAGTATTGACTTTGTGAATCCTTATTGAATCTCAGATGAACTAGTACAAGAGTATTCCTACTGTGAATAGTAGGGTTGCACCCATACCATTTTTTCCAGACTAAGTACAGGTCCCAATACTTTTCCTTCAGTAATTGCCGATACCAATTACCAATACAAATCATT